TATTGAATTTTTTGCTAGTAAGAAATTTCGTAAACATTATGTGCTAATGTAAACTCTGAAACCTCAAGGCAGTGAGTTAGCAACATTTTTCCAAAATTACCTGACCTTAAAATCTCCCCTTTAATGTTGCAGCAGAAAAAAAAAAAAAACATTAACTTCTCCTAAAAATGGTATTCCATCTAGCACAATTTGATAAATACTTCTCTTTAGCAGTGTTTCATATTTATTCTAATTAAATATAAAACAAGGATTTAGCTCATAAGAGAAATTTATTATGATCTAACTCCATTTTGTGTGTATTAAAAAAAGAACTCTGCAATAAATTTTCAAAAACACCATTAATGCGTCTTACATTGCTGATTGTATTTCTTCTGGCTCCTAGAGAAGAACTAAACTATGGCAGGCAATTAAAATGCCCCCTTGAAGGTGACAAAATGCCATCTTTCAGCATGATTAACCAAACAATCGAGGTTTTATAAATCTGCACCAAATAATTAAATTTGAGATATTAAATGTACAGAGTTTTCTGAGATTTCAGTGTGATTATGGTCTCTAAATAAACTTTTTTTTTTGTAAAAAGGTAAAAGAGGGGCTCCTGGGTGGCTCAGTCAGTTAAATGTCCAAATCTTGGTTTCAGCTCAGGGAGTAATCTCGAGGTCATGAGATGGAGCCCTGCATCAGGGTCCGAGCACAGCATGGAGTCTGCTTCAGATTCTCTCTGCATCTCCCACCCCCTTTACCCCTCTCCCTGCTAACTCTCTGTCTCAAATAAATAAGAAAATCTTTTTTAAAAAAGCTAAAAGAAAGTGGGTTTTGTTTTTTATCACTAATTTTAGCCATTAGGTGATTCTATATAAATTACACAATACATAGGGATCCCTGGGTGGCGTAGCGGTTTGGTGCCTGCCTTTGGCCCAGGGCGCGATCCTGGAGACCCGGGATCGAGTCCCACGTCGGGCTCCCGGTGCATGGAGCCTGCTTCTCCCTCTGCCTGTGTCTGCCTCTCTCCCTCTCTCTGTGACTATCATAAGTAAATTTAAAAAAAAATTACACAATACATATAAATCAGTTTTACAAAGGAAGAATGATTATCCACTTACAAATACAGGGGAAGAACATTCTATGCAGTGGGATAGAGTAAACTCATGGGAAATTCCTAGTGTGAATGTCACCTAGAATAGGAGTTTGACTACAATCAGGTTTCTGTGAGACCAAACAGTGAAAGGTGAGTTTGGTAAAGAGAAAAGGAAGAGTCAGACACGCTCGTAGAATGGAAGATATTTTACAAGTGATTGCACTTAGGGGTTTTTGAGAAAGATGGACAAATCAAAGATACTCTGAATTTTAAGCCAAAACAAATGAAACAACGATGCACCGATGTAAGTAGCACAAAATCAAGAGCTGACTCAGGATGGTTATATAGAGTTGACTATCTGATGCTTAAAACAATTCAATAGGTTTCTTCCCTGTTGCCTACTTATTGGGTAAGTCACTCGTCACATAAATCCAAAATAAAAGAAAGAAAGGATTTATTTCCATGTAATTTGGGTTCATTCCTTATAAATAATGGCAATAACAAAAGTTTTAAAGTCAAGGTAATTAATGCTAGCTGTCGTAATAGATAAGACCAATATTTCAGCAGCTTAACAATGGTGATATTTATTGCTTGCTCAAATCACAGTTCCCTGTAGTTGGTGGGTGAGGGGGGATTTGGAGACTTGAGCTCTGCTCTGTGCAGTTCTTCAGAAACCTAGGCTCCTTCCATGATGTAGTACTGTCATCTACAACATGAGACTCCACAGACATTCTGCAGCTATCTACCAATGAAAGAAAAAAGTGTGTAGGATCATAGGGGAGCTAGCATAATGTGCGTCACTTCTACCCATATTGCATCAGTCATAAGACCCCTGAGTTCCAGGGATGGGTGGAAGATACTGATTTAGCTCAGCGCTCAGGAATGATACATAGCATTGTCTGCATCGCAAAACAGAAAGAAGATAAAGCCCTTACCTAAATGAGTGAGAACTTCAAATGAACCCTGGAATAATTCTTTCTTATTGTCCCTATTATCTGTAGCGACAAGCCATACAGAGCTAAAACCAGCAATCATCATAGCAAGAAAAGGACACATAAGATTTTATAATCTGAAGCTTAATTAATTTGTAACTTTGCCACAGTCCTTCAAACTTAGCTTAAACAAAACATTCAGAAACTCTAATAACTAGTATTTACTTGTCTTGGCTAGGCGAAGTGAAGTTGCTAAGGTATGTGTGCATTTAACTTACAAAACTTCCAGTTATGGAAGTAGATTGCTATAAAAAAAAAGTTCCTATTTCTTCACATCCTCACCAGCACTTTTTATCTTTTGGGTTTTTTTATGTTATCCATCCTAACAGGTGTGAGCTGATACCTCATTGTGGATTTGATCGGCATTTTCCTGGGAATTAAATTGTTGAGCACCTTTACATGTATCAGGTAGCCATTTGTATATCTTCTTTAGATAAATGTCTATTCAAGTCTTTTGTCCATTTTTATTTTATTTTGTTTTATTTTATTTTTTTACTTTGTATTTTAAATTCATTGGAGTATAGTTGACAATGTTATATTCATTTCAGACATACAACACAGTGATTCAACATCTCTGTACATTATGCTATGCTCACAAGTGTAGCTACCATATGTCACCACACGACACTATTACGGTATCATTGACTGCATTCCCTAGGTTGTGCTTTTCATTCCCATGACTTATTCATTCCATAACTGAAAGCCTGTTATCTCTCATGTCCCTTCACCCATTTTACCCATCTCTCCTTCCCCCTTCCCTCTGGCAACCATCAGTTTGTTTTTCTGGATTTATAGGTGTGAGCCTGTTTTTGTCCATTTTTAAACAGAGTTGGTTTTGTTTGGTTGGATAGTTGGGTTTTTGTTTTTGTTTTTTTTTGCTATTCACTTTTAAAAGATTCTTACAAATTTTGAATATTATTAACCTCTATCAGATAGACAGTTTGCAAACATTTTCTTCCATTCTGTAGGTTGCCTTTTCACTCTCCTTTTTTTTTTACTTTTTTTTGACTTTTTTTTTAATAAATTAATTTTTATTGGTGTTCAATTTACCAACATACAGAATAACACCCAGTGCTCATCCCGTCAAGTGTCCCCCTCCGTGCCCGTCACCCATTCACCCCCACCCCCCGCCCTCCTCCCCTTCCACCACCCCTAGTTTATTTCCCAGAGTTAGAAGTCTTTATGTTCTCACTCTCCTGATTGTTTCCTTTGCTGCCCAGAAGCTTTTTAGTTTGTTGTAATCCCACTCGTCTATTTTGGGAATTGTTGCCTGAATTTTGGTGTTAAATCCAAGAAATCATTGTTAAGACCACTGTCAAGGGATTGTTGTCCAATGGATATAAAGCTCCACTTATGCGAGAAGAATAAGCTCTAGATATCTACTATACAACATAGTGTCTATAGTTAATAATATGGTATCATACACTTTAAAATACACTAAGAGGATAGATATCAAGTATTCTTACCACAAAACAAATAAACAAAAAAACCAGACAAACAAAACACACACACACAAGAGCACAAGGAAAATTTTGGAGATGGTGAGTATGTTTAGGACCTTGATTGTGATGATAGTATCATGAGTGTAAGCATATGTCCAAACCCATTAAAATGTATATGTTAAATATGTATAATATTTTGTTATATCAGTTGTATCTCAATAAAGCTTAAAGACTGAGTTTTGCCCAAGTATTGATCTTTTTCCTTTTGAGAGCAGAGTAAATATAGTTTATACTATCACCATATGGCTTCTAAATATCATGAATGAGAATAAAACTTTCCCAGCCATGATAACAGAAACTCTGCAGTGGAGAATTAATGGCTATTAGTGCACACACACAAAAAAATGAACCCCGTCTAGAATCCTTGGATAAACTGTAGCTACCTACATCAGTTCTCCCATCCGGAGCACAGTGTACCTGTATTATCAGATATTCTCCCTGTCTTTCAGGTATTGGAAATTGAAGCATTATTTCCTGGATTCTTAATTCAAACAAATTGAGAGTAAACAAATTCAATATCCTGACCAAAAAGGCAGCGTGTCTATTTCAGGAACATAAGCACACAAATGCCTGCGTGGGAGCACACACACACACACACACACACACACACACACACACACACAAACACGTGTCTCTCTTTGAAGCAGAAATAAACCTGGGGGAGCCTGGCTTGTTGTGTTATCAAGGAACAGTCTCCAGGAACCAAGCTGTTTTCCTTGAAAACTTGACAAGGAGAATCCAGTCTCTCTCATCCTGCTTGCTTCCCCCAATTCCACAAGCTTCTGCATCTGGATCCGTGTTGCCCTGCAATTTGTATCTGGAATATCAGCCGTGCCTCACAGACTTCCAGTGCGTTTGGATTGGTCAGGAGGAAGCAGAGGAGGAGCCACTCTGAACATTTTTTTCTTCCCCTCCACACACCATAAAATCAGCAGCAGCCACTAACACTCAGAGCAATGCTTCAGGTTGGGAACTAAGACCGCGGAGAGGCAGCTGATGCGAACATGTGCACGCAGATTCAGCTTCTGGTAGCTCGGCGGCAACTCGGAGAATTACTTGCAAGAGACCTCACTGAATGCCCTAGACTAAAGTTAAGGTGGGAGTGAGGACAAAAAAAAAAAAAAAAAAGAAAGAAAAGAAAAAAGAAAAAAAGAAAAAGAAAAAGAAAAAGCAAAGAGCAGACTCTTTGAACTGAGAATGAGCATTTCAGAAATCAAAGATGTTACAGTGAAGGTGATCGGAGCTGTACCTGGAAGACAGTAAGAGCTCCACTGCCAGCCTTTCGGAGCACGGGGCAGGTACTCAACACCTGGCAGGCCAGCTGGATCCTCAGAACTTTGGGACGCACAGAGAGGAGGAGAACATCACCGGGGCTCCCTGGCCCGAGAGGCCGAATCAGTCCCGAGGGGGTCTGCATCCACTTGTTGCAGGATGAACTCCACCCTTCAGCACGGAATGCACACTTCTCTCCACTTCTGGAACCGCAGCACCTACGGACAGCACGGCAACGCCACTGAGTCCCTTGGCAAAGGCTACCCCGACGGGGGATGCTATGAGCAACTCTTCGTCTCCCCGGAGGTGTTTGTGACTCTGGGGGTCATAAGCTTGCTGGAGAACATTCTGGTGATCGTGGCAATAGCCAAGAACAAGAATCTGCACTCACCCATGTACTTTTTCATCTGTAGCCTGGCTGTGGCCGATATGCTGGTGAGCGTTTCCAACGGGTCAGAGACCATCGTCATCACCCTGTTGAACAGTACGGATACGGACGCGCAGAGTTTCACGGTGAATATTGATAATGTCATTGATTCGGTGATCTGTAGCTCCTTGCTCGCCTCGATTTGCAGCCTGCTCTCAATTGCAGTGGACAGGTACTTTACTATCTTTTATGCCCTCCAGTACCATAACATCATGACGGTGAGGCGGGTTGGGATCATCATCAGTTGCATCTGGGCGGCTTGCACGGTGTCAGGCATCTTGTTCATCATTTACTCGGACAGTACTGCTGTCATCATCTGCCTCATCACCATGTTCTTCACCATGCTGGCCCTCATGGCTTCTCTCTACGTCCACATGTTCCTCATGGCCAGACTGCACATCAAGAGAATCGCTGTCCTCCCGGGCACCGGCACCATCCGCCAAGGGGCCAACATGAAGGGTGCCATTACCTTGACCATACTCATTGGGGTCTTCGTCGTCTGCTGGGCCCCATTCTTCCTCCACTTGATATTCTACATCTCTTGTCCCCAGAATCCATACTGTGTGTGCTTCATGTCTCACTTTAACTTGTATCTCATTCTGATCATGTGTAATTCCATCATCGACCCTCTCATTTATGCACTCCGGAGCCAAGAGCTGAGGAAAACCTTCAAAGAGATAATCTGTTGCTATCCTCTGGGTGGCCTTTGTGACTTGTCTAGCAGATACTAGCTGGGGACAGAGAAAGTACTAAAAACATGCACGAGAGACTTCTTCATCCTCACACAATATGAACTGTGTGCTTGGACAACAGCTGCTTCTTCATTGTAAGGCAGGAGTTGAGAATATAATATGTGTTGCACAAATTCAACTTTATGATGTTTTGATGTGGAAAAAAAATGCCCAGGCTCTGTACATTGCTAATGTCATGCTACTTTTTGGCTGTGCATTGTTAATCCATTTCGACGCTGTAGACACTTTGAATTTCTAGAAAGGAAAAAAGCTTTCATTAAAAGCATATCAGTGTTTCTTGTTTTCACGAGGATTTGGCACTTTGCTTGCTTTAGGAAACATAGAAATCCTAGAATCATAAACTATATAGCCTGATAAGTAGCTTCTTATATTATACTATATCACATGAAATGTGCAGATTTGAATGTAGCATGGGGGGGATATTGGACAATAGATACTTGGTCATTAAAACAATCAACTGAAATTTTAAGTAATAAAATGTGTTCTTTCTCCCTGTTGCAGAAATAGAAATGAAGCTTCTGTTGAGAGAAAAACAGCTTAACACACACACACAAACACACACACACACACACACACACACACACACACGAGATTTTAAGCCATAAAACTATTTCTGTCTCTCAGAGGCGAAGGGATTAATTTGCCCAAGCAAGCAGTCTGATATTTTACAAAGGCAATTCAGTTTGGGGTAGAGGGAGACAGCAGTTACAGGAATTAAAGTATTGTAGACAATTTAAGTTAACATGTGAAGCTGAACTTCCGTATAATCAAACTATTTCCAACAATCGTTAATAAAATCAGAGAATAAAGTCTTTCTATCCCTTTAACCAGGGACCCAGTGTCTGCTGAAATGTGCAAAAAGGGTGGTGTTGCCCTGAGAGATCTGGCTTCCGATCTCTAAAGAACTACACACTCAGCATTGAGTTCTCTCACTTTTCACAGGAAACTGTCTGTTTACTTATGGTTTATTTTCTGCACTGGAGTTTAATTATGCATTATCAAGAACTTTAACTTTACAAACCACATCTATAACACACATACATCCATGCAATATGTGTAAATATCTAAAATAAGGGAAGCTTTGATGCTGATACATGACAAGTAGGAGGGAAGACACCACCTGAATCCCAGAGGGTATCTTAACATAAACCAGCCTTCCACAACCACATTTTGGAAAGTAAACACTTGTTTTCCTCCAAAATAATCCCACAGATTCCATTACTGAGCAGTAAAATCCGTACTTTCCAATTTACATGTACTTGAAAATTAAGAGAGAGAAAACATATTAGGCTGAGGGTTACCAATAACTTATCCTTTGCTTTCATTTATAGTGTCTTCCAGTGCTTAGGGGCAGAGATCACATATGCAAAGGTATTTCTTAAATCAAATATAAATGCTTTACATCTTAACAAAAAGTCCTGAGAAACTTTCAGCATTCATGTGGAAACATTACTTAAAACTGGAATGGCGAAATGCAAGTTTACAAATGAAAGGTGGTACTTGATTCACTAGGATTCCTCTATTTTGATGCAAAATAAGTGTGAGGATTTAAACACAGACTGCTCTAACAGTCAGAACCCAAAGCCGTAGGAGGACACAGATGGTGTTTTTATCTTTGCTACTATTCCTGTCCATTCTTTCACATAGTAAATTTTAGAGGTCCTGGGGACTGGAGATACAGAAGAGAAGGCTCTAAGTGTTCCCATCTTGTGTGGTGGCTGTCTCTTCTATGTCTCCTTCAAGTGTCATCTCAAATGCTGCTTCGTCCATTAAGAACCAGCCCACTTCTCCCTCGAAAAGGAAATCTGGCTCCTTCATCTTTGTTTCTATACCTCCTCTTGGGGCTGTTTAGAGAGCTGGGGTGAGCGTTAGTCATGAACCTGCCTGCCCCACCAGTCTCCTCTGTAAGCCCAGAGCACAACATTAGGCTTCAGTTTCTTTAAGTGCTAAGACAGTGTCTTACTCATTTTTCCTGTTCTCCAAACATCCTTCTGTTACTTTCTCTTTCTCCGGTAAAACCAAGATTCTCCCAGAGGGACATATTACCACCCAAAGTACATAGTTCACATTAGCGTTCACTCCTGGTGTTGTATTTTTTATGAGTTTTGACAATTGTATAATGATATGTTTCCACCATTACATTTATTATACAGAATAGTTTCACTGCCTTAGAAATCCTCTGTGCTCCACCTATGCATCCCTCCTTCACTCCTAACCCCTGGCAACCACGGATCCTTTTACTATCTCCATAGTTTTGTCTTTTCCAGAATGTCATACAGTTGGAATTATATAGTATATGACCTTCTCAGGTTGACTTCTTTTACTTGGTAATATGCATTTAAGATCCCCCATGTCTTTTCACGGTTTGGTACCTCATTTCTTTCTGTGCTGAATAATATTTAATTGTACGGATGTAACATGGTTTATCTATTTATCTACCAAAGGGCATCTCTTGGTTGCTTCCAAATTTTGGCAATTATGAATAAAGCTGCTATAAAGACTTTTGTGTGGACAGAAGTTTTTAATACCATGCCAAGAAGTGAAACTTCAGTATAAATACTGTGTTGTATGTGTCCATCCTTTAATATTTTGTTAAGGGTGATTGAATAATTCAAATACTGGTAAGGAATATACACTTAAGGTGTGAAAGCAGCATCAGATACCTTTATTGAAATTTTCACCAGACAGCTCATTTAAAAAGCATAAGTTATATTAAAAATTATTTTCCATTGGTGAAGTGAGTGATTTTCAAGACTTGCAGTTGACTTAAAAAGTTGTACAGTGATCACCATAACTTGCATGAACAGGTACAAATTTCTGCCCACTTAGCAGCTAGCCTAACGTTCAGACACTATGTCCCAAGCTCTTAATGGTCCCATGTCTCCCATCTGCTCCAAAAGTCTCTGCCCAAATGAAATATTTTGAAATTACTAAAAAACATTTTTGAAGAATTATTTAATAACATGTGAATAAATATTGACTTCTGTTCAATGTTACAAGGAATACACAGAACAGATTCTTTAATATGACACCAACTATCTAAAGAAAGTATCACTGGGAACAGAGCTTAGAGATCATCTTATCCAACCCTCTAAGCAGACTCAGAGAGAGATTGGTTAATGTCAAATGCATAATCAGTGTTAGCACCAAAACCTGATACCCAGGTCCTGACTCCTCATTCAGATTTCCTTGAACCAAAATTCTAGATAAGTACCACTTTCCAGTCATAAAGAAATTCCATGATTGAATCCTGGTTATATCACTATGTAGCTGTGAGGTTTTGTTGAAGTTGAAGTTGGTGTTCTCATTGTTCAATGTACATAATAATACCTGTCTGATGGGAATCTTAGAAGGATAAAAGGTAATTATAAAGACTGAGGTTCCACAGAATAGAGCTCAGTATATACATAGGCACTCAAAACTGTAATTATTATTAGTTTTAAAATGCAAAATAAATGAATAAACCCATACATGGATGAAGACTTACTAGTTTTGCTATTTTTTTTAGACTCAACATGATCAATAGAATCTCAGCCTTAGGCTTAACTACGTATCTTTTCTTAAATCACATTTCATAATTTCCTTAAATTTGTTGGACTTTTTTTGTATAAATAGAAGTATTTAAACAAAGTGGGTACATGGGCATACCTGTTAAAAGGATAATTTGTTATCACCAATAAAGCTAATTGTTTTAAATTTGCAGTGCCACATTCAATACTGAAAAAGGCTAATTAGAAAGATAATGTGCCAAACATGCAATAACCAATTAACACATTTCTCCAAAGATTAAGTGACACTCATTAAACTTAATGCCACAAATTTAAGTGGTAACACACGCACACAACCATTATCTAAGCTAATGACACTGACATTAAATGTACACCCCTGAAAAATACTAAAAATAATGAATTTATCCTCACATCTTGATGGTCAGTTAGTGGTCTGTCACATATTGGTCAAAGCTAAGTAAATGAGAGTAGAAAGAGCATAGGGTTTAGACTAAGGAAATATTGGGTTCAAATCCCAGATTTACCAGCTCTAGAACTTTGGATAAGTCACTTAACTTTGCTAAGCATCTACAGTCTGAAGATAATAATACCTATCATTTCATCATATGGTTAATGATAAATATTAATGTAAAATTAGATACCGGTTTATAGGATCTAGTATAGAGCTTGTCACTATAGGCATCTATCATTGTAATGATCAATCAAATCACACTCATATGTCATCAGAGTTTAGATTCTAGAAAACATAAAACAGTGGTACAGACTTGGATAGCCTCACTTCTCTAGCAGGAGAGGCAGGAATCCACTCAAACATGTTTTCAGCATTTCACTTATTCTTAACAAGTGAAGGAAGTAAGAGGAATCTCTATGTTTATTATTTTAAATCTAAACACATTTGAAACATTTCCAAAAGACTGGGGGAGGTAGTGTTTGGAGTTGATAGGAAAACACACTATTTCTTTTTTTTTTAAGATTTTATTTATTTATTCGTGAGAGACACACGGAGAGAGAGAGAGAGGCAGAGACACAGGCAGGAGGAGAAGCAGGCTCCATGCAGGGAGACTGACGTAGGACTCGATCCCAGGTCTCCAGGATCAGGCCCTGGGCTGAAGGCGTCGCTAAATCGCTGAGCCACTAGGGCTGCCAGAAAACACACTGTTTCAATGGCTTCAGTAATGTTCTAATTTTTATGGGGAATAACCCATTTAATATTATGCTTCACAACTTAGAAATATATGACAAATACTCCTTTGCATGAATATTATATGAAAATTTACTGAATATAATGCATTAATTTTGTAATGTGCTTAGTGAGAGGGAACATGCAAACATTGTATTTGCATGGAACAAATAAAAGAGACCCAGCATAATTTAATGCTGCCACTTCGAGGGGGGAAAAAGAGATTTGATTTGTGATAGTCATGGTTGAATTTGTCCCTGGGTTAATGGAATTAAATAATCACAGTTTAC